AAGCAATTATTAATAATTACTTGAAATTAAGAAATAAATTATAATAACTGTTCCATATTTACATTTGCAAATACCAAAAGGTTGTTACACAAAAGATGGCAATCAATTGTCCTTTATGTTCACTAGGAACAGGCCAGGGAGTTGCTTAAGTTACAAGAGAGACTGAGATTAGATATAGGGAAGAACCTTCCAAACAGGATGTAGAATCTCCATCTCAGAGCGTAAGTCAGAACAACACTTGGCTGGGCTGGTTTGGACAGGGATGATCCTGCCTTGAGCAAGTGGTTTGGTAGAATGACCTCTTGAGGTCCTTTCCAGCCCTATTTTCCTTGAATCTCTAGCTGTCAGAAGTAGAAGCAAGGTTAGCGATTCTTCATTACAAATAATAAAACACACTGCAGCAGAAAGGTATGTCATTTATTAACAATTTGCTTTTTAATAAATTTGAAGAAAAAAGTCTTTGGTGACACTATCTATAAAAACAACCTATCTTAGATGGTAAACCTATAACGTTATACAAGTTAATGAAGTAAATCAAGTGATATGGCTTTGTAATTTCTCACTCCATCTTTTTTCTCTCACTCACACACTTGCTTTAGGTTTAATTGCACCGTGTTGTCAATAGTCAAACAAAAGGGGAGAAACAGTTAAACAAAAGAAAGAAAGAAAGAAAGAAAGAAAGATGTGGCAGCACTATGAAAACAGTGGTAATGCATTAGAAAATTTCCCCCAAAATGTACATTTTTTACAAAATAAGGTATATATTTTTTGCTTTACAATTGCCCATCTACGTATTCCCAGTTGGATTCTTTATCCCTGTCAGTCAGACACTATACATATTTTCTCTCAAAATAAATATACAACGTTATGTACACTGTCACAAGGCCTATTTGATAACCCCTAATTTCACTGTGAAACAGTAACTAATCACATGGACAAGGGAGCATCCTAACGTACAATATGGGCTGACACTGACAGCTCAAAGAAATGAACTACTGTAAAAAGGCATGTGAAGACACTTAAAATAAAGTAGTGTAAAGGCCCACTGGACTTCATTGTAAATCATGGGAAACACACAAAGCTTGGAGCACTCTGCTTCAGTGTTCAGAGGACAGCAGCTCTGACCCTACCTTGGGCAGCCCACAGGCACCTGCACAGGACCAGCTGACTTCAATCATGGACCCATCTTCCATGCTTAAGTCAATGGAGTTCTGTGCTGGGCCAATGCAGAATCAGGCTGACTGCCAGTGGTTTGTGTATAAAATGCTAAAGCTGCAGGTTTTGACAGCAAAGCCAGACTGGAAGAAAACAAATCCAACCCATCCTTTCTTTGCTGTAAGAGAGCTTGGTTTGAGGATATGACAACTCAGAGATGATTAGCAGAGGTATTAGAATGGCAACAGCATGCTGCTGTTTTGTTTTAGATATGAGAAGAGAGACAAGTATGTTGAATTTTTGGCAGGGGGAAGAAAGGGTCCTTAAAAAAAAAAAAAAGGCTATATCTAGCTGAATGTAGGCTGGTACTTTCATTGTCTCAATGTCAAATCATTACTTCCAGTCTTGAAATAATGTATTTTTGGTAAATGAACTATTTTAAAAGGCGCTCATTGGTGAAAGATTAATTTCTGTGTCAAACTTGGCTCTAAAAAAGAAATTGAAATCTGAAAGTGATCAAATCTGTGGTGGTTTCAAGGTAGATCAAAGTGCCCAATAGCCAAGCATTAGCACTAGGGCATGTTCATTATGAAATCATTACAAAGCTTAAACATCCACACTTACAAAAAGTTATGGTGATAATTAGAGTTTTTCAAAAATGGAAAGAGGGTGAATAAAATCTTACAGAGACCCTTGGGGCTGCGGGGCTGGCCAGGCACTTTCTAATCTTGGAAGTTTGCCCTCACTTTTGTGTCCTGCTTTTCTAATGATTAAACCCTCTTCCAGCAGAGGTTCCATTCCAATTACAACCAGCCAGTTTTGGGTTTTTTTCTTTTTAAAATAAATTCAATTAAAAATTCATTAGTTCTCCCAAATGCAGATCTTTATTTTTATTCTCTTTTAATGGCATGGATCTATTCACATTCAGCCATCCGTCTCACCCCTGATTAAATTAAGGTCAATAACCTTTGCTAAAGGCCACATGCGTAACACTCCGTCAAGTCATCAGGCATTCAAGTACCTGTAAAGTGAAGGCTAACGTAGCCTGCTGTTAACAAAAAATAAGCCTAAAACAAAACAAGAGAAGAACAAGGAATAACCCTTGTTTGAGCACCATTTGAATTAAGGGGAGGGGGAAACCCCCCCACAATATACTAATTCCTAACATGAGATAAAAGGGAGATTTCATTTGCTACAGAAACAACATAGCTCTGTACAATGTGGTATGGGTCTGAACCATGCCTAGCCTGCTTTAGGAACACTGTTTGGTCATCGTTGTGGATAATGCACAATGTTCTGAATGAAATCTGTATCCAACTTTCAACATTTAGCTAGGAACTGAGTCTCCACACATGGGCAGAAAGATCTATGGCCATTATCAAGATTGGCTGGGAGACGCATTCTTTCCTTGAGAGATGCCTATGCCTTGGTAACATGCTACAAAGAAAAATGCCCCATACCTATCTGAAACCATTTGGAGTTAAGCCTTGCATTGTTACTTGTGTAATTAGTGATCTGTAAACAGAAAGAGCCTTGAACGATATTCAGATCTAGCCCCATTACATTTGTTTAGCAACTTCAAGAAATTGTGCATTAAAAAAATATTAGCAAGACCATGTCAGATAGATTAAGCCCCAAAATTTCACCTTCTGAATTTAAAAGATGGATACTATCCACTGGCTTTTTATTAAAAACCCACCCTACTTTTGCCAAGTAATTTCATTCAATAAAACAAAAAGCAGTACTATTGTCATTGTTTTTGTACGGTGAATTAATAAAGCCCATAGTCTCCTCCTGCTGCCTACAGATCCATTAGCTAACTCCCAAGCTACAGACATTCATGCTAAAACATCTATGTGCTTGTCCAGAAAGTAGGACAAAAAACAAAACGGGAGCTGTGCTGATCCAGGCTGATATGTGACCACATTTTCAAAAACGCAAGCCTAAACATAGGCCAAAGATAGATTTTAGCACCTAAAAAAGTGGCCTTATTTTCCAAAGTAAGAAGGCCAACAAGAACAGTTGGGTAATCTCCACTTTTGAACTTTAGGCCAACAGAGGTTAGTCTTTTGCTTCGATTTGGCAAAAAAATTAAACAACAATTAAAAAAAAAGACCAAGGAAAGCTCAAAATCCCTCAACAATGTCTTTAAAAGTTTGGCTCAGACTTACGACAACAGTCACGAACTGAACTCTGCCCTAACTTCCTGTGTTCTCCCTGGTTATTGCAGTTCATACAGAAAGAAACACATTGTTTGGAATGTCCTGATATGTCACTAAACAAGAGTCAATAACACTTTGCAGTTCGATAGCACCTTTCAGTAGAGGAACTTGTGTTTCCCTGTGAACACTAATTCATTCAGCTTCATAATCCCCCTGTGAAATGGGCAAATACAATTATGCCCCCTTTTTAGAGATGGGGAAACTGAGGCACACAGCAGATCAGAAACTTATCCAAAGCCATGTAACAAGTCATTGGTTGAGCCAGGAATAGACCGTCTCCAGGACCCCATGTTCTAACTACAAAGCCATACTCTCCAGGCCCCGAATTAACTACCTAACACAAAGGTTTGGAGGTAAGGAATGATCTGCCCCATTTTTATCTGGGGGCACAGCCAGACCTTCTCAGTTAAAATTTAACACACTTTGTGTGAGCGATGAGTACTAGAAGCACCCCGAGAACAGCTCATGAGAATGAGAGTGTTAAAACATTTTGAAAAAGTGCTGGTTTACCTAGTCGATTCTGTTGTTGTCTTTCTAATCTCTATCCACGTTCATGCTTTCTTGCCCCAAGATGCAACTAGTTTGTATACTACGGACTGGCTGAAATGCTTCTGTTTGAAATGACAAACCCATTTTTTAGTAGAAATATTACAGAAAAGCACCAAGAACAAATGCCTGGGTTTAGGGGCCAGATTCTACCTGGAATTACCCTCTGGTAAATTTAGGGTAAATCCATTCCCATCCATATAGTTATTTTAAGTACCAGAAAGCCTTGAGGAAGGAATCTGGCCTTTCCTTTTCACTCCTACAAATACAAAGTGCCTGGGCTGAGTTGATTTTCTTCAAACATTTGTAAAAAACAACTAGTTTCAGGCAAAGTATTTTAATGCCAAGCCCTAGAAACCCCTTGTAGTTCACAATCAGATTCCTACTTTTCCTTTCCTTCCTCCTTTAAAACAAGGGGATTAAACCAGAAATGTTGATAGACCCTTAACTACCAAGACACACATAGTGTCACTTTGATATATATGCCCCCACAAACAAGGAGGAGGAACTCATGAAAACCACAGCTTATCCAGCAGTGTAGCAATGCCTGTTCATAACAGGGACTAACTAACAAGCAGAGCATCCAAATTACAGCAACCATCCTGATGTTAAAATGATTTGTTATGAGTCATTCCTTCATGATTAAAAGGCATTGGATTTCTGCTGTGCATAAATTCCTCTCTCACTTCAATCTTATCTGTTTTGTTCCTTGACATCAATCTTTCCCCCTGTCCGCCATTTAAAAATAGGTTTTATTGGTTTTATACCCCAAACAGAAGGATTTTTACTCTGTTGTACTAAATGGATGTTCAGCTTCCTCTCTGAGCAATGGAACTCTATACATTAGCAGCTGTTAACTTGAGTAGTGAGAGAGAAAAAAAAATCAGCTCTAAATGAAACTTAATGTTTAATTTCTGTCCTGTTTGTGCTCAATTTATTTTCAAAACTGCTGCATTTTCTCCCTGTGAGATCTGAATGTTTTAACTTCGCAGGGAAACCCGAATGAGAATTGCAAAGATAATCAAAATACGTGTAAAGGAAGGAATGGCAACTTTGAAATATTCACAGCCAACACAATTTTGATTAAAGAAAGAACTCTGTTTTTAATAGTTTTTTGATCATTAAAAAAGTTTAAACCTGCATAGCAATCATTTCAAAAATAATTATTTAATGTTCCATAATGAAACTGTACACAACCTAGTCTTGAGCGACAGTAGCCCGTGAGGTGGTTTGAATCAGTCCAGAGCAATGAATCCTTAAGGAGCCACAAGTCAGCTTTCCATTTGCATGTACTTTTGTCCTTGGTACAGTCTGGCTCCAAGTGTCAGTAGATCTGCACTGGGCAGATAGTATAGTTCAGTCCCCTCAGCAGGGCTCCTCAAAGTCGTTCAATGTCTCGATATTTCTTCCTCAGAATGGAGACCTGATCTTTAAAGAGGACAGGGTCAAGCCTCATCTGAGAATGGATCAGCGGCATATAGCCAAACCAGCTGGCAAAAGTGTTCATACAGCTCTGCCGCTGGGCAAAATGATCGGGGTCAGCCCAGCGGGAAGCCCTGGAAGTCTGGATGGAGAGAAAGGAAACAATAAGTCATAGTGTCAACCAAGCTGTGTAAATGGCAGGAGGTGCAGTGGTAATGACATGGCAGTGTGAAGCGATGCCAGGACCATATCACCTTGCTCTAAAACTTGAATATTCGGCTGAGATGTGGCGAACAACGTACACACTTGGTAGCTATCCTTCAAGTCACATGGAATAATTCTGACCTCAGTAACAGCTGGTCAGCTGGTTGGCCCTTGTGAATAATGAAAACACAAAGTCTATTGGCTTCTGATGGTTATCAGACAGCATACGGAGCAAAATAAGTCCGGCCAAACCACCTGAAACTTCTCAAGGGGTTAGTCCTGAATATATTTTTTATTTCAATCTAACGTACAATATATTTTTGATAGAAGAAAATAAACCTTTTCTGTTTTCTTTTCAGTGCACGATCATTTTCCAAAGAGCATGCAAACACTTGAGCTAGAGGTACAAATCCCAAGCCATAGTTTTAAACACACATGCCTAGTGTGCACACACCACAGCGTGACAGCTGCAAACTGGCTGAAGGCCTCACAAACTCAGGGCCCAATCTGACTGCCACTAGTGTTCATGCAAGCTGGGTGGGACCACAAATGCTTCATCCTGGAAGCTGCTGCTGGAGTCAATTTGCTTGGAAATTTTGAGCTGGGGAGCACCTGATAGGCGTCAGCATTCAAGACGAATGTTTTGAAAGTATTGTAGGTCCAGAGTCCATTGTCTGGGCCCAATCAACGAGCGTTCACAGGACACTCTTATCTAATTTCAGCTCGACTCCTAACATACATTACCGTATTCATACATATAAGTATTGGCATGATTAGAATTTCTGAACATTGCCTAAAAACAAATTCACACTACAGGAACTCAGAGTTCATGATGGAGGAGCCAATACAATACATAGAGAGGCAGGAAAAGGAATCATAGAAGCCTTTTTATTATATCCAGCCTTCTGCTAGTTACAGTACTTAACCTGAATATAAAAACCACATTTTGTGTTTACCCAAAATACTAATGGGCTAATTTTCAAAAGTTCTAAGCATCCACAATTCCTTTTAAATCCTGTAGAAGCTGTAGGCACTCAGCATCTCTGAAAAATCAGGCCCTAAAAGCTTTGAAGGAGCTATTATTCTCTATTTGGAAAATAATGCACCTGAACTATATGAAAAAAACCACTCTCAATCCAAAACAATTATTTAAAACAAGCTATAAGTGCTCAGAAAGTGCCATTACAGTCTGTTTTGTGCCATATTTCTACAGCATTTTACTTATGTTTCCACTGCCATTTAAAAAAACCCCATAAATTCATCTCAAATTGTGCTCATTAAAACGTTAAGAAAGTGATAAAATCAGGAAATTTCAAGTGAAGGCTAAGAATTGATCTATACCACAGGCTGGACTAGTTCAGCTCAAATGATAGGTTATAATGTGCATTGATCTCAGACTCTTGATTATACATTATCACTACAGGGCAAGCCAGCAACAGGGTCCTGAAGGATTCTAGGAGACATTTCAGCCCTTACCATTGAATTTCCAATATGACCATTAATCTGTGTCACATCATTAAGGGCCAGATATTTTTATTTTTTATTTGTCTTTCAAACAATCATGAATATGGCCCATTACATTTCCTAGAGCTGCAGGAACAACTCATTTTAAGAAAGCTGTTGTTCATGGTTCACACAAGACACAAGCCTCTGAGACAAGTCTGTGTGCAGTCCTAAGCAAAGAGACAAAATCTGGCTCCACGTACTGGTGAGGCTCTAGGGGCCACCTCCTACAAGAACGATGTGGGTAGACCCGTGCAAGGACCCATTGACAGTGCTGGAGGGCATATGGTTATGCCATTAATAAAATCATATAATACCCTTTACCTGCATGAACACTGCTTAGGCAATGCTGGTCCCTTCCCACCCCCCATCACCTCCACCCCAGTGCTGTGGCAAACCAGGCTGTACATGGAAAACTGAAGAGGAATGCCAAGGCCTAAAAGGAGCAATGTCCTTTATTCCACAATTCAGTCAAGCAAGAATAATAAAGCCCAATGCCATGCTCAGTCCACCACCTTCTGAACCCAGGACCGTCCCTACAAGGCCTGTCAACTCACTCTTGTTCAGCATATGCCAAGAGAGACACCATGAGATACCCTACGCCATATGCCAAGAGCAGTGATGAGGCATGCACCATGGATCCCGCTAAATGATCTTTTCTGTCTTGTGATTTAGGCACAGGGGAAGAAGGGTGTATGGGGCTTGTTTCTCTGCAGGAGTCTCAACTTGGACAGGGAGGCAGAAAAAACATGGCCATGTTGCCTTGCCCTACAAGCTGGATCCCATTTTTGTCAGAGAATATGATCCTTAACTAACAACTGGACAAGGACATCTGTTCACTACCGAAACTCATTCTAAAATGAATATTTTACCTATGAACCACACCAGCCACTGAGCGATCATATTGTGTCAGTTGTGAAACAAATACGTGGATGGTTATTCTTTACCTCCTCAAGGAAATAAAAATAAAAATGACATCTATTGTGACATAGCTGGAGATGACTGCTCCAATTGCACTGAAAATATGATATATTTTTAAACAGCACAGAGATTGCTCCATACCTTAAATTCATTAATAATATTTTTTGAAACACCCTCAAGGGTTTACTTGTGCTTCTAGCATGGCACAATGGGTCTGGGTCTAAAATATTAATTAGAGAACTCAAGTTTTCTCAACTAAAACTCAGCTGTCACAAAAAAAAACTTGCATGGATTTTAGATCACCACAAGTAAATAAAGCAATGCAGGAAAATGAGGAGAGGAAGCTGTGTTCCATAGACATTTGTCATCTCTATTTTTAGATTCTTCTTCGGTCTGTTAAAGATATTCTCAAACCTATTTACATTTTTTTTTCAGACAAGAAATTGTGAAAAATAAAGCAGACTTTACAACTTATCTGGAATTTACTTTACCATGATGATTCAGTAAGGTGGAATACATTCCAGATACATACCTGTCCCATCATGGTCTCCTTATATTGTTTTTTCTGTGTTACTTTGATAGGAGGCAATTTTGTCACAGCTGACACCAAAAAATTCATTAGAATGTCTTCACAATTGGCCAGTTGGTCCACCATATTTTTTAGGTTGGCAGGCAGGTAATGAGTGTACAGGTAGTGATAATATCTGGAAAACCAACAACAGGGTTATTAATGTAAACATTGCTTTACTGGGGTCTAGGCACTCCAGAGGATTTTAATCTCACTTGAGCCCCTAATTTACTGTTCAATTTTGGGGAAATCACGTGACATTTCCCCCTCATTCTCTAACACACAAATAGGTAATAAAAAGCATATCTGAGTGACATTGGGAACTGAACTGTTAGGGACACAAGAACTAAGAATATCACCACGTGTTTCATAGGTTGCTTTCAAGTCTTAAGCAAGATAACTGAACATTTGTATTTAGAGTGTCTCATATTTTTAGTAGCCAAGGTAGATGAAATGGTAAGGAAAGGTTGGTGTGGACATAAGGAGATAAAATAGTGTGCGACTGGAAATTATCAGGAGTCTGGACAAAACAACCAACAAGATGAAGTATTTTTTTACCCAGAGCATAGTAAATATGTGGAATTTGTTGCCATGGGAGGTTGTAGAGGCAGATAATATAATTACATTAAAAAAGGGATTAGACAAATTGACCGACGAGAGGTACCTTAATAGCTATTAAAAAAACCAATCCAGGATGAAACCACTAACAGGCCTACTGATGATAGCTGATGCAGGGAAAGTATGGTAGGGGATGGTATGCCCTGTACATAAACTCTCCCTCTAAAGCATCCACTATTTGCCACTTCTGGGGGCAGAATACTGGGCTAGATGGACCATTAGTTTGACCCAGTATGAAGTTTCATACATTCTTAAGTTTAAATTGTTCCCCCAGATCCTGGTGAACACCCCTGATAAACTTATAGGTGGCCATCAGATCACCCCTGAGCCTGTGCTTTTCCAGGCCGAAGAATCCCATAGCTCTTAGCCTCTCGTCATAAGGTCTGTTTTCCTGACCTCTGATAATGTGCGTGGCTCTTCTCTGGACTCTCTCAAGCTTCTCCACATCCTTTTTGAATTGTGGAGCCCAAAACTGGACGCAGTGCTCCAGCTGCGGCCTCACCAAGGCCGAGTACAACGGAAGAATGATGTCCTGGGATTTGCTTGAGAAGCATCTATGGATGCAAGCCAGGGTTCTGCTCACTTTGCTAGCTGCAACATCACACTGCAGGCTCATGTTCATCTTGTGGTCAATCCTGACCCCCAAGTCCCTCTCGTCCGCAGTGCTAGTCAGCGTAGCACTGCCAAGCCTATAATGATGCTGCAGGTTTTTCCTCCCAAGGTGGAGAACCTTGCATTTTTCGGTGTTAAACACCATCAGGTTCTCGTCCGTGCATTTCCTGAGCCTGTCAAGGAAAGCCTGGATTACCCCCCTGTCCTCAGGTGTGGATGCTTTGCCTCAAAGTTTGGTATCATCGGCGAACTTGGCCAGTCCACTTCTGACTCCAGTGTCCACATCATTAATGAAGAGTCTGAACAAAATAGGTCTAAGGACAGAGCCTTGAGAGACCCCACTGGTTACAGGGCACCATGACCATCAACCACCACCTCTGGGTCCAACCACAGAGCCAATTCCCCAGCCAGCGGATCGTGGTGGACCCGAGGCTGCAGTTAGCCAGTTTTGCCAAAAGGTGATCATGGGATACCAGATTGAAGGCTTTTTTAAAGTCAAGATATATGACATCAAACTCTTCCCCCATACTGTCCAGCCAGGGGGTTGGACCAAGGTGGTCACAAGGGCCCCACCACACCAAGGTCCCCTCCTCTCTGGGGTTTTGCAACAGGTACAAACCTCTTGCAGCCCCAGCAGAGATGCCAGCTCCTGCAGGCAATGGAGGGTTACCCACCCCTATTCTCCCTAAGACGAAATGCAGAGTGCTCATCATGGGAGACTCCCTCCTGAGGGGCCAATCTGCCTCCCCGGCCCCCTAGCCCGGGAGGTCTGCTACTTCCCGGGGGCCCACATCAGGGACATAGCAGAGAGGATCCCAAAGATTATCCAGCCCTCTGACCACCACCCTATGCTCCTTATCCATGTGGGCAAGAATGACATGGCTCGGAGCAATCCCAGCCAGGTCATGAGAGACTACAGGGCTCTGGGAGCGGGGCTTAGGGGTTTGGGGGCACAGATGGTCTTTTCCTCACTTCTCCCGGTTACAGGTCATGGGCTGAGGAGGGAGAGATGGGTTGATGAAGTTAACCAAAGACTCTGGCGCTGGTGTCATCATGAAGGCTTCAGCTTCGGCTTCCATGATCACAGTCAGCTCTTTGGTGAGGGAAGCAGCGGTCTGCTGGGGAGAGACGACCTTCACCTCACTCCGCTGGGGAGGAGGCTCTTCTCAGCCAGAGTGGCTGACCTGCTTGACTGGGCTTTCAACTAAGCCCGCCAGGGGATGGGGGAATTACTGTCACTGCTAGCCCACTGGGCAACCCTTGTAAATCCAGCAGGCTAAGGCACTTAAGGGACCCACCCCTACCCTACCCCCGGAACAATCTGTAGGGAAGGCAAGGGCCCCCAATGGGACACTTGCCTGCTTGTACACCAATGCCAGCAGCTTGAGGAATAAACAGGAGCAACTGGTCCTCCTGCTAAACAAGAATGACTATGACCTCATAGGGATAACGGAGACCTGGTGGGACTCCACCTATGACTGGGCCACAGATATAGATGGCTATACCCCATACACGAGAGATCGTGCAGACAAAAGGGGTAGGGGTGTAGCTATGTCAAGGAGAGCTACACATCCCTCCAAATTGACACTGGCACCCAGGAAAGATGACTGGAGTCTCTCTGGGTCAAAGTATGTGGGGAACATGGCTCAGGGGACATCATGGTAGGAGTCTACTACAGACCTCCTAAACAGAAACAAGAGCTGGACCAGGAATTCACCAGGGAACTGGCTGAGGCTGCATGCTCTCGGTGCATGGTTGTCATGGGAAAATTCAACTACCCGGACATCTCATGGGAAGAGCACTCGGCCAAATCCGATCGGTCACAAAGCTTCCTCACGTGCGTGGACAAGCTCTATCTGACTCGAGAAGTCTATGGGCTGATGAGAGGTAAAGCGTTGTTGGACCTGGTACTGGCCAAAGGGGATGACCTAGTCAGTGACCGAAGAATCGATGGAAAGTTGGGTGATAGTGACCGCGAGCTGATCACCTTTACTATCCATTGCAAAGCTGGCAAGTCAGTCAGCAAGACTGAAGTCCTCGACTTCACGAAAACTGACTTTGACAAGCTCAGAAGGCTTGTAGTCAAGGCCCTAAGGGACCACGACTCGACAGGAAGAGGAGTCCAAGAGGAGTGGTTGCTCCTTAAGGGAGCACGCCTGATAGTACAAGGGACGGCCATCCCATCTTGGCGGAAGGGTAGCAAAAGGGCACAGCAACCCCCTTGGCTCAGCAGGGAACTTGAGGACCTGCTACGCCTCAAAATAGAGACTTATAAAGGATGGAAGGCTGGAATTACCATCAAGGAGGAGTACTCAGCACTGGTCCGTACCGGCAGGGGGCGGATCAGGAAAGCCAAGGCTGCAAACCAGCT